TGCAGAGCTGAGCAAAGCGATTGACATCATCAAAGCGCGGCATGAGATGGCCGCTCGTATCGGAATTGAAGTGCCGATTCCGGGGTTCTCCTTGGGCGCTTTAGAGCGCTTCTTTGACCAGTGGTGCAAGGCCAACGACCTTCACTTGGTGATTGATCCGCCTCCAGCTCGGATCGTCTCCGGGATAGAAATCATGGATGCGATTCAGGACGAGTTGCATCGCCAGGAGCTTGGAAATGAACTGGCCAATGAGCTCGAGCCAGAGGATTTCGCCGCAATCAAGGCTCTCTTCTATTTCGACAGCGAGGCGCCGGTCTCCGAGTCCTTTGAGCTCGTGCTGGGTGCTTGCCAGCACGAGGCCGCACAGTATCGAATTCATCCCGAGGAATACCGCCAGTCTGTCAGGAACATGCTGTCCAAGATAAGAGTGTTTGAGCGGATCCTTTGTTCGCTCGACCTGCTTGGGCGCGCTGACGCACTTGAAGCGGTGATTGCTCGCTACGGACTCGAGCCTGCGCGCGAGCGACTCCTTGAGAACAGCGCTGCGCGAAAGGTATCTGTCTCCTGAGTAGGTGGCTCCTTGAGGTGCAGCAGTCACCTAGCGCTCGAAAGGTCCACTGACCGGTGATGGCGGCAGCGGTCGCTGGGCCGCCACAACTCAGCGTCAGCAGCCAGCCTAAAGTTGCTATCTCAGGGGTCGGCTCTGCAGCGAAGGCGGACATCGGTGTAGCACAGCCGTATTTCCGTTGTCACAGGCAAAGCAGCCTTCCGCTCCGCCCTCTTTGCCTTTGATGCGGTGAAAAGCTAATCCAGGAGCGGCAGTGGTTGCGCCCGGTGTTCAATCCGGTAGCCGATTAGAAAACCGCTGCTCTTCATTGAACCCAAAAGCCAACCAGCTTCTGCCAGAGGCGGACGAGAAGCGGCTTCTGTTCCATGGCGTTGTTGGTTGTGGCCAACTCGTCTTTCTGCCTGTTGACTGCGGCAATATAGTGTTCCTTGTCAGACTGGTCTCGGGCTCGAACACGAGCTATCTGCTGCGTTGTCATTGCATAAGACCATGAAATGCGGTTGCGCCGAATCCAGTAGTGAGACTGGCAGGCGTAATTCCAGTTACCTATGGACGGGTGGAGGCTGACGGTTTCACCGTCCATTTGAAGCACCCAGTCTGCAGGTGACAGCGGCGTGACGACTTTCTCGCCGCAGCCACATGCGCAGAGGTGCGATGCAGTCTTGTACTTCTGACTGATGTAAAGAATGCCAGGCTCAAGCGCCTTTGGCACAAACTCCACGAACTCCGGTCGGATGGAGTCAAGCCTCATCAGGCACCTCCACACCTCCGGTTGTCCGAGCCAACGAGTTCATGTTGACCGAGAACACCACATTGCGGGTATCAAAGTCGGCTTGATAGAAGCCGCAGTATTGCTTCCACAGCATTACCGCCAGTTGGGCGTTCAGCGCGTTCATATCCGCGATTTGGATGTTCTGGCGGTATATGGCATCGTCCTCCTCATCATCCAGCGGCACGCAGCGATCGATGTGATCGTCGCGCTCGGGTGCTACCAAGGTGGCACGACAACTGCCCACGAGCTTCAGCGTTCCCTTGACCTGCTGGAGGTTCATGCCCACATCCACAAACGGGATGCACTTCGCCCTCAGAAAGTCGAAAACCAGTTGCCGGGCTTCGGCCTTGTCCACACACACGAACACAAAGCTCAGACCATCGAGTTCTGCCACATTCGATTGGTTGAGGAAGTAAGGGTGGCTGACCACGTTTCGGTGCATGGCATCGTAGCGGCGACGGAAGATTTCCGTCTTTGGAAGGCGTGCATCGATCTCAGCCTCTGTCGCGGCACCAGGCGAGCGGAAGGCATTGTGCTGCTCGAACACATCCCCATCGAACAGGTGGATCTCCTGAACGGGCGTCTTCGCCAGTTGATCAAGAACGTATGAGCCGGTACCGCCAATACCAACGATGGCGACTTTGCCAATTGCAAGCTGCGCTGCAGTCATGATGATTTCGGCCCTTGCCGATGCCGTATCTGGGTACCGGAATACCGAACTATCTTCATCGGACTTGATGACACCGCCAATCTGTGCCTTCGACCAGGGCTCCAACACACCGGCTTGTGCCTGAATCAGCGTGACGTAGTGCTTGACCTTCTGGTAGTGATCTTGATAGTGATCAACACCCAGCGGCTTGTTGGAAAAGCGGTGGTTGATGGTGAATCCAGGAAACAATTCCTGGGTAGTGTGCTCATTTTCGAGTGCTCCGAGGGGCTTGCCATCAGCGAAGCTTGGGTACTCTCCCTGCCACCATACTTGGTGGGTATCCCCGCCGTGGAGTGCATTGGGCGGCAGCACATGGTCGCCGCTCTTTACATAAAGGCAAGCTAGCGTACCGCGCTTGACCTCGCGCGAGGGCGTCACGTAGGGCACGCTATGCACCAGTAGATGCTGATGACGTACTTCAACGTGGAATCCCTCGTCTACCAGTTGCCGGAGACCCGAATCAAGAGCGATTGGTTTTGATGACATTGAAGCTCGTCCCTTCTTTGATGGTTACTTTCTGGCCCGGTGCCAGCGTGCCGTCATGGCCGTGCAAGTTGGCATAGGTGACCGAGTAGAGGATGTCGAACGGGCCAGCCGGAAAGGCCAGTTGAACCACCTGCTCGTAGGTCAGGTGATGGTCATGGACGGTTTCCTGTTGCCCGTTGATAACGATGTGAAACGTTTTTTCCTTTTCTTTGGATGCGTTGATCTGGTTGATAGATGCCTCGTTGGACATGGTTGTGTTACCTCATTGGTTGTTGCCTGCAGCCAGGCTGGATACGTTCCCGAAGCCCATCTACAAGAACGTGTCGTAATATTAAACGAACGACATTGTTGATGTCAACTATTGTTAACGAATCGTTCTTCTGTTAGAATGAAATGCAATTGAAAATCATTCTTATTGGAGAATTCAGATGTCGCTTGGTGCCAAGCTGGCGGAGTTGAGACTTCGCAAGGGCGAGTCGCTCCAGGACGTAGCCAACGCGGTTGGCGTGTCGAAAACGCATGTGTGGCAAATGGAAAAAGGAAGCAGCGGCAACCCTTCCATTGATTTGCTCAGGAAGTTGGCGGCACATTTTTCGGTACCACTGTCCTATCTTGCGGATGCTGAGAGCGACACTTCTCTCCAAGATGTCGAAGCGCAGCAATTCTTTCGTGACTTCAAATCGCTTTCCGAGTCAGAACAGGCCGTTTTGAAGCAAAC